GAGAGTGAGTCAGTGAATGAGAGTGAGTGAGTGAGACGTGAGTGAGTAAGAGAGTGAGTCAGTGAATGAGAGTGAGTGAGTGAGACAGTGAGTGAGTGAGAGAGTGAGTGAGTAAATCGTAAACACCTTTTTTAAAAGCATAGTTCAAATGCAAAACAAACGCGCGATGGAAGCAGCAGTGTGAGGGCCATGTGTGTCTTTCAGGAGGCTGGCCCAGAGATGAACCAGATATGTGGGTCGATAGAGCCCAGAGTGATGGACGACGACATGCTGAAGATGGCAGTGGCCGAGCAGGGGCCCCGAGAGGAGGCCGGGCAGCTGGCCAAGCAGGAGGGCATCCTCTTCAAGGACGTCCTGTCCCTGCAGCTGGACTTCCAGAGTACGTGCCTCTGGGTACACAGGGGACAGGAGAGCAACCCTCCCTGCTCTACTCTCAACCGCAAGTCTGGATCCCCACACCAAGTCCCACACCAACGGACCCATATCAGCATCAACGCCTGTTGGGATTGAAAGCACAGGAATTTGCTGTTAGGTTGTTAAGTCTCATTGAGTTGGTTCCGACCTACCGCGATCTTAAGACTGCCCAGCCCTGCACCAGCCTCACAATATTTTCTATGCTTGAGCTCATTGTTGCAGCCCCGATGTCAGCCCACCTCACTGAGGGCCTCCCTCTCCTTTGATACCCCTCTACTTTACCAGGCATGATGTCCTTCTTCGGGGACTGGTTTCTCTGACAGCATGTCGAAAGTACTATGTAAGATTAAGCCTTGCCATCCTTGCCTCTAAGGAGCATCCTGAACTTACTTCTTCCAAGACATCACTTTGTCTTTTTAGCAGTCCATGGTACTTTCAATATTCTTCTACAGTCTTCCTTATTCAATGTTCAACTTTTCACATGCATATAATGCAATGGAGAAAATCATGGTTTGGGTAAGGCACACCTTAGTCCTCAAAGAAACATCCCTACTTTTCAATATTCTAAAGCGGTCTTGTGCTGCAAATTTACCTACTGCAATGCATCTTTTGATCTCTTGACTGCTCTTTCCATGAGCATTGCTTATGGATCCAAGCAAGGCAAAATCCTTAACAATTTAAACTTTTTCTCCATTTATCATGATGCTACTACCATCTGTGCGTAATTTGGTCTTCTTTACACTGAGTTGTATGTAATCCATACTGAAGGCTGCAATCCTTGATCTTCATCAGCAAGTGCTTCAAGTCCTCCTCGCTTTCAGCAAGCAGGGTTGTGTCTTCTACTTATTGCAGGTTGTTAATAAGCCCTCCCCCAATCCTGATGCCATATTCTTCTTCATATAATACAGCTTCTCTGATGATTTGCTCAGCCTACAGATTGAATCAATATGATGAAAGGATACAACCCTGACACACACCTTTTCTGATTTTAAACCATGCAGTATTCCCTTGTTCTATTCACACAACTGCCTCTTGATCCATGTGCAAATTCCACATGAATCAAGTGTATATTCTTCTCAAGGTTATCCACCGTTTATTATGGTCCACACAGTTGAATGCCTTGGCAGAGTCAATAAAACACAAGGTAATATCTTTCTGGTATTCTGTGCTTTGAGCCAAGATCCAACTGACATCAGTAGTGATATCCCTTGCTCCACTCCCTGTTCTGGATCTTGCCTGCACCTCTAGCCACACCCTGTCAATGTACTGCTGCAACCATTGTTGGACAGTCTTCAAGAAAATTTTATTTGCATGTGGTATCAGTGATATTATTCCATAGTTTGAGCATTCTATTGGGTCGCCTTTCTCTGGAATGGGTACAAACATGGATCTCTTCCAGTCCGTTGGCCAAGTAGCTGTCTTCCAAATTTCCTGGCATAGACATGTGGTTCCAGTGCTTCATTAGCTTGTTGAAACACTTCAATATTGGTATCCCATTAATACCTGGAGCCTTGTTTTTGGCTAATGTTTGCAGTGCGGTTTGAACTTTTTCCTTCAAATTCTTCTGGTTCTTGCTCATATGCGACCTCCTGAAATTGTGGACTATCAACTAGTTCTTTTTGGTACAGTGACCCTCTGTATTGTTTCCATCTTCTTTGGATGCCCCCAGTACATTCAATATTTTGCCCATAGACTCTTTCGATATTGCAACTCAAGGCTTGAATTTCCTATTGCGTTCTTTCAGTTTAAGATATGCTCCGTGTCTTCTTTTTGGGTTCTCTAATTCTAGGTCTTTGAACATTTCATTTCATTATAATAGCTGCCTTTGTCTTCCTGAGCTGCCCTTTGACATTTGCTTCAGCTATTCTATGACGAAGAGCAAGTTTCTGAGTCTCTTCTGACATCCACTTTGATCTTTTCTTTCTTCCTCGTGTTTTTAATGACCTTTTGTATTCTTTCATGAATGATGTTCGTAACGTCCTCCCACAGCTCATCAGATCTCTGCCATTAGTGTTTAATACATCTAATCTGTCCTTGAGATCTTCTCGAAATTCAGATAGGATAGACTCAAGGTCATATTTTGGCTCTCGTGTACTATATGTGTATAGTTGCCTTTTGTGTTGTTGAAAGGTATTTGGTCTGAACAAGTCATTGGTCTTGAAAATTCTATCAGTTTGCAAAATGCCAGCTTTGTTTCTATCACCGAGTCCATATTCTCTAACTACCATTCCTTCCTTTTTGTTTCCAGCTTTTGCATTCCACTTGTCAATAATTATCAATGCATCTTGATTGTATGTTTGATCAATTTCCAACTGAAGTCATTGGGAGATTTCTTCAATTTTTTTCATCACTAGGTTTTGTGGTTGGTGCGTACATTTGGATAATAGCCGTATTGATTGGATTTCTTTAAAGGTGGATAGATAGAATCTTATCACAGACAGCATTATACTTTGTGATTGATTTTGCAATGTCCTTTTTGACAATGAATGCTATGCCATTCCTCTTGATTGGCGTGGCATAGTAAGTCATATGATTTTCTGATTCAGATGGCCAAAACCTGTCCATTTCACCTCACCCATGCCTAAGATACCAATCTTTATGCATTCCATTTCATTTTTGAGCACTTCCAATTTTCCTAGATGCATACTTTGCACATTCCTGAGCATCAGCAGATTTTTGCAGCTGTTTCTCTTTACCTTGAGTCATGCCTCATCAGTCAATGAAGTTGCTGAAGGCTCCACTCCTACAGGCTTTACCCGACTCAGGTGCCCACGGTCTTCCCCACGCTGAGAAAGCAGCTCCTCCTCAGTCACATTGTGAGTGCCCTCGGACCTGAGGGGCCCATCCTCCGGCACTGGCTCTGACAGTGTTCTGCTTCCAGTCATTGGGCCATCAGGATCTGACAAGGTTTGGAAGCTTTGCACAAGGTTTTCAGCGGTTACCTCCTCTAGAGTGGTGAGCCGCGTCCTTCTTCATTGTCTGCTCTTAGTTATACCTTTTTTCACAAATTTAAGGGGAAAGGTTTCAGTCTTCCACCATTGAGTATGATGATCGCCTTGGGTTGATGTGGCTGTATCAATGCCCTTTGCCTGTTGAGCATTTCCCCCTTTTCCATTGCCTATTTTTATTATGAAAGGGGATTGACATTTTCCAAATGCTTTTTCTCTAAAAATGCCTTTTGCCAAATGCATCTCAGAACTCTTGACAGCAAGTGACAGAAACCAAACTCAAATTAGCTTAAGTTGGAAAGAGAATGAATTGGCTTATGTAACTGGGACAGGTAGTCATCAGTCATGGCTGGATCCAGATGCTAAACCAATTTCAGGTCTCGGTCTCCCTCCCTTCTCCTCTCTCCTCCCCCAACTCCCCGCCCCCACCCCCCAATGGACCTATCAGGTTTTCCTGCAGCCCTGGCTGACAGCACTGATGACCACCCTCACACTCCTCACCCTTACCCTCACACGGGGCCCCTCAGTACCTGGCCACAACACCAGGACACCCACATACTCCAAGGTGGAGGTGGAGGGGTTGTGGGACCTTTTGCGTGACAAATGCTAACCATCTCAGGCCTCACAAAACCGTACCTGAAGGCTGTGACCACCTAAACAGTCTCCTCTCTTGTCACAGACATCCTCCAGATAGACAACCTCTGGCAGTTTGAGAACCTGAGGAAGTTGCAGCTGGACAATAACGTCATTGAGAGGATCCAGGGTCTGGAGAAACTCACACACCTGGTCTGGCTGGGTAAGGTCCCCCCCTGTGTGTCCACTCAAAGCTTAAGATGATGCCCCGCCAAGGTGATGTCCTTCCCAAGGGACAGGAGCCAATCCTGCATGACAGTTTGCTACCAGCCCCCTATGAGCCTGGTGTAGCTAAGGATCTGAGCTGGGCAAAGCACAGACGTGGCCCCAAACAGAAACTCCAAAACTAAACATACTGCCATTGAGTCCATGCGGACTCATAGCGACCATGTAGGACAGAGTAGAGCTGCCCGTGTGGGTTTCTGCGACTATAACTCTTCACAGGAGTAGAAAGCCTCATCTTTCTCCTGCAGAGCAGCTGGTGGTTTCACACTGCTGACCTTGTGGTTGGCAGCCCAATGTGTAACCCACTATACCACCAGGACTCGGACAGACACACCGGGAAGAGTGTTCTGTTCCCATCTGCCCAGCTTCTCTGGGAGAGAGAAGCACACACGGGGACTATGATGGATTGACAGTTACCTGTCAGCCCCAGCAGTCAAATCAAGCCTAAAATAACTATCACAGCTGGTAGTGCAAGCTGAGTCCCTACTATATGCCATGTGTGAGCCTAGCTACGTTCTCTACGCGGTCTCTGAAGCCTTACCGCATCCCATTGTAGAGATGTATATACTGAGACCATGGCAGCTAAGTGGCAGTATCAGTCATCCAGTCCATCCCTGTCTGACCCTAGAGTTCTATCCCTCCTTGCTAAGACTTAAGTCTGCGGGTCCTGTTACATCTGATGAGGGCCCCTAACAGAGAGAAGGTGACAGACCCAAGGGTTACTTGTATACTGTCCGAGTGTTCTATGGTGGCTGTAACAAAGTTCCACAAACTGGGTGCCTCTTAAGAACCAAAAGGCCTTACAGTTCTCGAGGTGAGGGGTCCAAATGCAGGGCTGGGTCAGCAGAGCCATGCTCCTTACAAAGCCCCAAAGGAGAGCCTCTCTTGTGTCCCATGGGACAGCCCCAGGCAGTCCTTGGCTGGCAGATGCCTCTTCTTACGGCCACATAGCCTCTGTGTGTCTCTGTGTCTCTTTCAAAAGGACACCCTTCAGATACGGCGCAGATCCACCCTGCTCTAGCATGACCTCGTGGGAATAATAACATCTTCAAGTACTTTATTTTTTAATGAGGTCGTGCGCACAGGTGTTAGGACTTCCATACGCTTGGTGTGGAATGGAATGGGGACGTAATCCATCCCTCACATGCACATGAGCTCATTAAGCCCCACAGCAGTCTTTGTTCCAGTTCCAATCTACAGACGAGGAACCAAGGCTCAATGAGGCCAACTCCCTGGCTCAAAAAGCAGCGGAGCTGGGCCTCAAAGGCATACCTGTCTGACCCCAACGCCCACATTCCTTTCAGCCTGTCAGGCTGCTGTCTGATGGCAGGCGAGTCCCAGGGGTGGCACTCTCAGCAACACCTGTGCTGAAGTGGCACGCTTGTAAGAGCCCCGTATGTAGGTTTGACTGGGCCTCCCCCAGCTGCAGACACTGAGCCTCAGAGAACCTGACAGAGTCAGACCACAACCAGCGCCACCGCCCCCCTCCACTCCCCCCCCACCCCCCTCGCCAATTTTCCAGGATATTCAAAGTCACCTTCACTGTAGGAGATGAAGACAGTGGGCTTGGGACTGTCATTTCAGGGGCAGATCAGCTGTAACCCTGAGCCATGCGCGCGCGCGCGCACGTGCCCACGCCCCGCGCATCCCCCAGGAAGGCGGCCTACCGTGCTTTACAGCAAGAGCTAGCAGGCCCATTGACCTCTTAGACACACAGTCAGTGCCGTGTGTCCACTGAGAGCCGCTGTCAGCCTGTCCACCCAAAGAGACACTTGGTTTCCCTTCTAAAAAAAGCTGGCGCCTCTGTCCTCAGACAGGAAGTCAGCCGTGCGCCAAAGCTTTTCAGCAACGGTAGTGTATGCTCCCAAAGGCGGCTCAGTGCTCAGCACTCCCTGTTACGGGGAACGAAAACAGAAAGAGGTCACGCCAGGATTGAGAGGTCATGCTGCCCTCATGGGGGGAATTTCAGGACAAAACTACTTCCTTAGCAACCCAGTGATATCCCAGAAGAGCTAGGGGGCTGGGATCCAGGGGAGATGGTGCTCTGATGGGTCAGCAAAGCCCCCTCACCTGCAGACACAGGCAGCCACTGCATTGCTAGGGATGCTGAAGCCACTGGCATTGATTCCCAAAGAGTCAGCCTCATAAGCTCTTTGTAACCTGGGAATGTCACAGTGGGAACGTATACCCAAAACCAAAACCCACTGTTTGTTGAGTCTTTTCCCACTCATAGTGACCCTATAGGACAGAGTACTGCCCCATAGTATTTCAAAGTCTGAGACTAATCTTTACAGTAACAGATAGCCTTATCTTCTAAGGACCAGCTGGTGGGTTTGAACAGCTGACCTTGTGGTTAGCACCCAATGCTTTACCTAGGGAACCACCAGAGCTCCCTTGAAATCAGTCACAGGGGTAGTATTTACACCACAGAAACTGGCAAGAGCGACACACCAGCCCCCATGCCCATCCCCAGTTAGGACACATTTATCAGCATACCATTAGTTCAGGAGGGGCAGGAGGCAACCCACCAAAGAAGAGACTCTGGTGGCCTGGTGGGAAAGGTAGTGTGCAGGCCAGGCGTTTGAGTGTAAGCCCAGCCAGAAAGACATGGACCCGGGCCTTCAAGCAGAACTGCCGAAGGTGGTGGGAGGGTGGAGCTGCAGACAGGAGTCCAGGTATGGCTCCTAGTACCCACAGCTCACCTGAGAGCTCACCCAGCATGAAGGGGCTTGGTGGCTTTCCTCAAGGACAGTTATTCCCTAACCCAGTAGTTCTCACCTCCCAGATCTGTCCTTCAACAACATCGAGGCCATCGAAGGGCTGGACACACTGGTGAACCTGGAAGACCTGAGTCTGTTCAATAACCGCATCTCCAAGATTGACTCCCTGGACGCTCTGGTCAAGTTGCAGGTGCTGTGTCTGGGCAACAACGAGGTGTCCAACATGATGAACGTGAGTGGCCGTCGCAGGGTGGGAGACACCAGAGGGACTGGGCAGAGGGGGGGCCGAAATCTCGTGACACAGAGCGATGGCATTTGTCCCCAGGGACTCTGAAAGCCCGGGGTTCCATCTTTTCCCTTTCTTCTCAAAAAGCCAGAAATACAGGTTGCTTCAGAGATGTTTAAATACTCCACTCAATGAAGAGTTTCTAACTGGCCGGAGCCTGTTTGCTCATGGCCGACAAAGAGCAACCAGGACAGACTGGTATTTGCAAAATGTCGGTGCCTAGAACAATAGCCAGAGTGGGAAAATGACAGGCTGAAGTCCTGGAATGGGGAACTTGGAAGGGGACTAGTGCGCCTTTTCAGGAGTTTGACCCAGAGGATAGGGCTATTTCCAGGGCCGTGCATTCGGAGCAACACGGTGGATGAGTGTCTTTGAACAGGGCACCGTTGTGACCATCTCTACCGGTCAAGAGATTTAGTTGCTATGCAATGTGCATGCCACCCTTGTCTTCAAAGGAGGAGATTTCTTAGCCGTTTCTAGCAAGGCATTGACCTGTGATTTCCCCCATTCTGCATGTTGTTCTAGGCACCCACATTTGGCAAATTCTAGTCCATTTCAGTTTTACTTCATTAGCCAGGACCGAACCAAAAATAACCACCTTGAAGCCCTGGCTTAACCCACCTAAGAGTCTGAGGGTCAGCGGGTTGCAGGCACACCAGCCCATAGTGAGCAAATATCCCCGAGAGGTGTGGCTTACGTATGGGGATCCCCAGTGCAGTGATGAATCAAGTGTGGCCCTCAGATCACTCGCTCTTACTTAACCTGATGAAGTCACAGGGTGACAGGGAGTCGGGGGCCATGAGGAGGCATCAGCAAGGCCTGCAGGTGTGGGGAGGACACCTGGGAGGCCAGGTATGTCTGCGTGAGTTGCCGTGAACACTGGTCATCTTGGGGCAAGGCAGGCTGCCCTCTTACATCCTTTGTCCACAAGCTCCCCAGGCTCACTAGTGAGACCGCTGCACGGGACACCTTGAGTCTTGAGGTCTCTACAGCCTAGACGGGGGCAGCTGGGCAGTGGGACGGTGCAGAGAGCGTGTGGGTGTGGGGATGGGGCAGGGGTGCAGTCCTATCTGTGGAGCCTGTGCCAGAGGTGTCCGCACGATGACCTTCCGCTCTGCTTCTGGTCCAGGACCATGCTGTCACTGACTCCCCAGTCCCAGGTGCTGCTTAGTATCCTCTCCAGTTCCCTGTTCTGTGGAGGCCAGGCTGATGGCTTGAGTTCACCTCCCAGCTGCCTACCCTGAGACTGACCCTTTCCGACACTCTGCTGCTTCCTCGGTGAGATGGAGGCATGGCCCTGCCCTGGCCTTCAAAGCTGTCCCAGGAGATGGTGAGAAAGTGTGGAGGGAGTTCTCTGCCAATGGAAGAGGCAGCGGCCGGGATCGTTTCTAGGAGAACGTTGGGAGGGAAAGGGGCTTTGGGCTCAGAGTCAATGAAATGTCATCAGTCAGCAGGAAGGACGGCCTCCTAAGAGGAGGGACTAGCGTGAATGAGGCCTTGAGAATACCAGCCTGGTTCAGGGCTGCTGGGACTCCTGGGTCACAGGTCAAGGTCGAGGGGTATGCAGTGAGTCGATGGGGCAGGGACAAGCATGGGGGTTGGGGCCTCGTCGCAGATCCTCTTGAGTGGCGGCAGAAGCAGGGGGGTGATGTGGACGGCTCTTTGGCTGGGGCATGTCGGGATGTGTCTGCAGTTCAGGAAGGAGACCTGGGCGCAGTGCAGATCGGTGTGCAGCAGCTCTGCACATGGGCTGCTAAGGGCTGACTGTTAAAAAGATGCAGCCTTCACAGGAACAAAGGTAGCCCAGCTTGCTGAATACTGAGTGGAGCTGAGGGTCAGCCTATTGGATAGTGACGAGGCAGTCCCAGGGAGCTGGAGAGAGCAACGGGGACAAGTAACACTATCCAGGTGTGCTACTGAGGTTGCTGCTGGAGGCGAGGGGCATTTGTCCAGAATATCTCCTAGACTTGAACCCCTGAAAGCCTGGGGTCAGAGTGTTAACCCACCAGTCCTGTTCATCCGTAACTAAGGGGCACCCTGGAGGTGTTATCTCTTCCCGTTGGGATGAGTGAGCTTCTTGGCTTCAGAGCCACTTCTGAGGCAAAAGTGGGGCAGCTGGGAGCTGTCCACAAGTTCTCCATGGCAACAACCAAGCCCAGCTGCGTGCAGCAAGGATGTGTGATAGAACGATGGTTGGCCTCCCTAAGAAGGGGTCGCTTCAGGCCCAAACAGCAAACTAATCAAGGACTGTGTTAGTCTGGGCACTTTAGAGAAACAAATCCACAGAAACTCATGTATAAGAGAGTTTTATATAAAGGGTAAGTGCACATTAAGAAAACATCCCAACCCAGTGCTGCCTGAGCCCACAAGTCCAACATTGACCCATTAACCCATATGTCCAACACCAATCCACAAAGTCCTCTTGCATCTCACAAAACAGACGCAATGATGCTGACTACAGGAGGAAAGCCGAGTCAGTGAATGTGTAAGCATCTCAGCGCTGGCAGGGGTCTCCACACAGCTGCTCCAGCACCCAAGGCTGCTTCGGGGTAGGTCCATGTGGCTTCTCCTCAGGGATGTCTTGCAGGAAGTGAGCCTCTCCAGCTGAAGCAGGGAACTAACTGGCTAAGGTAGCTGCACCCTGGTCCGACCCTCAGAAAGCAAGAGACCCAAGAACTCAAAAGGCGAGGCTCACTGAGCCATTTATCCCTCCGCCCTTCAATTAACCCCGCATGTGTTTATCGGCCAGGTTGGCACAATAAACTAACTACCTCAAGGACTAACAGACATGACTGGATGGATCAGGAGTGATTCAATGGAGTTTAGGGGCTCACTGTTCCCAGGTTCTGATGACCTGCCCATACGTTGCCATCCCAAGTTTCAGGAAATCATTTCTTCCCAATCAATGCCCTCACTTCACCAGTAGACATTATTCAAGGTGGGGAATTCAATTGGCAATTGTGCTTCAGCAACTTCTTTTTTGTTCTTTTCCTAACAGCTTTATTGGTGTATATGTCACATATCATACAATTTAATCATTAAGAAGATCTGTGCCATCATCACCACAATCAATTTCAGAACGTCCTCTCATATTCATTCTTGTCATCCCCATTTCTCCCCATCCTTCCCTACCATTTCCCTATCCAGCTGCTGTCTCTGTAGCTCTACCTATCCTGGGTTCCATATACAGAAGATCATATAAAATGAAACATAATCACACAAAAGCATGCAAAACAAACAAGCAAAACAACCCACAGTGACTAGACAAAACAGAAAAACCTCAAAAAGAAAGTCAAGAATATTAAAATTGAACCAACTTTAAAATGGGCCAAAGGGAGGGGAAGCAAATGATTACCTAACTACACCTGCCAGAATCAACTGTGCAGTGCTTTCTGTGTGACAGCACGGCTACTCACATCCCTCAACTGCGGTCAGAGGGGATTCACCAGACACTGAATTCATTTGGGAGCCCTGCAATGGGTCTTGGGCTGTCACCGTCACCCATAGCCTTCTGCAAACCGGATGTTCACAATGTAAGCTCTGATCCTATTCTCTCCTTTGGATTTGGGTTCAGTCCTTGGATCACACAAGCTTCTGGC